TCTGCCTTGCTGTCCCCTCTTTTTCGTTTTCCTTTTCAGTTTGCCACTAAGTATATTTCCATCCCAGAGTTCCTTTTTTTCACTATGTGGCACGCTGGATTACGGTGGTGTTTTTGCAATTATCTCTCTGAGTGATGAGGATATGCGAGGGCTTCTCTCACCATCAGCCTGTCATAGGGACATGTGATAAATTCACTTCGGAGACACGTCTGACTTCTTCATATGTGAGAATGAGAGTACTGTTTTGTCCAAAGTCATACCTCCTCCTTCTCCTTTCTTTGCTTTTTCCCTGTACTGTCAACCTTGCCACCTTCCTATCGTTCCCCTTCCTAGCAGAGTTGGAAGCAGAGTGTTGACATTGGGTTTTATCCAAATATGTAGTCTACGAGGCTGGAAGGTGGTAATGAAAGCCAAGAAAAACAGCCTGGCTCTGAGTCTAACAACCAGGCTTGTCCTTCTGATGAAACCAAAGGAAAACAGTATTTTCTGTCCTTGTTATTCCTTTCCTCCCATCCTACACCTCCTTTCCTCGCTCTGTTCTGTCCTTTTCTATCTCTGGTGCTTCTGATTCGCAGACTAATTCATTGTCTCCCTCTGTGCTTTATAAAACTCTGTGTGAAAATGTAACAAATATTACATTTTTTAATAGATGTAAATTTTAATAGTCTAAAAAAATACATTTGTAACATGTGGGTCTGCGATTTGTTACATGGAAGCAGGGCATCTGTGTTGCTGCAACAGTTGAGGAGGTGTCAGTCCCAAAAGGGTAATAATGTAAATGAAGTTGATTAAAGCAGAGACGATGTCACCTGAGTTTCTTCATCTCTCAAACTGGATATTATAAAATGCAAAGTCACGTAACTCGTTGTTTGGCAACAGTATGGCAGTGAGAGGGACGTGGACTATTATCTGTTTTAAAAGTGGATGTGGCTGTGTGTGGGTGTGTATGTCGCTTCATGTATCCTTGTGCTGCGTGTGTGTGTGTGTGTGTGCTTGTGTTTGTGTGGGTGGAGGTCAGAACGGAGTGCAGGATAGAGGAACAGATGTGCGCTGTATTGTGGCTGTGTGCGCGGATGGACGGGGACCAGGTGCAGCCTTTGTCTCTCTAGCATTTAAGTCCACTCGCTCGCATTCAGCTGCCTCGTGCCTCCCCTCCCCTCTGTGCCCCCTCCTCCTTCCTCCTCTCCTTGGAGGGAAGGCAGAGATGTGTGTGTGTGTGTGTTTGTGTGTGTGGGCCGGGCTGCCTTGGCTTAAAGGAAGGGTTTGCAGCAGTCCCTTCTGCCCCCCCTTCTCTCACAGGTGACTGTTGGAGGTCCCAGCTGGCCAGCTCTTGGCCGATTAGATCCATATGGTACAGGAGGAGGAGGAGGAGGAGGAGGAGGAGGAGGAGAGGGAACCTGGTTAATTTTCAAATCAATTGCTTTCCTTTTTTTTTTTTTTTCAAAGTGTTTCACTGGTTGAATACTAAGCCTCTGTCAGTTGTTTAAAGTATGTGTTATCCTTTCACTTCAGGACTTCGTAGACTAGAATTAGGATTGCAGAAATACGGCAGCATTTCGGAAGATATACTTGTGCTTGTGCGCTGTTTAATTAAGAGTTACAAATGTCATTTCGTGTAGTATTTTTTTAGCCATGCTTGGGACAAAATGTAGAAAAGGTTAAAGGAAGCTAAGCACTGAAGTTAGAGGAAAATAGGGTTGTAGTTACTCCGGTTCTCTTGCATCTGTTAGATCTCACCGTCACCACAAAGTCAGGTTCTCATTTTGATGAGACTTATAAGTTGCTATATTTATACTTTTTTTAGTCAGATGAGATGTGAGGCACTGTCGTGCAAAACTAGGGTAATAAGCTTGACTTTTTTTCTCATAGATAGTACGCACAGCTGGGCTAAACCTCCAAAAAACATCCTGTTGACGTCTTCTTGTCTGACTCGTGATAAGAAAACTAAATATTTGAAATATTTGACAGCATTTCTTGAAAAAAAGAATTCATAGGGTTATTTTCATGTGCGTGTGTTTGCGTTAACATGTGCGCGTCCTGACCCTACATACTTGTATCATTGCACATGCCACAAATTTTCTTTGTGCTCACTGATGAATTAGTTCGGTCTGTGTTACATCTTCTCTCACCTCATCTACGGTGACAAGACTGAGAGCAGTGTGGTTTGAGTACACACACCACCGCACAGCGACACACACACATGCTTCACAGCTGCCAGCCTCTCACAGGGAGTTTAGACTTCAGAGTTAAAACATGAGCTTAATAAACCCTTACACTGAACCCATTTATTTATACACCACATCAAGTGTGATTTATTTCTGTGGACTCGTTACAGCTTATCCATCCCGTCTTTATGTAAGGAGCTCGATAAATGTTCTCGGAAGTGTATTTGTCTTTTCATTTGCAATTTCATTAGTTAATGGACTGCTTTTACAGCGGTGGCTCAACAGGAATAGTCACGTTTCTCTATCCCTTTCCTCTCTTTCTGAGCCTCATTCCGAATCATCACTCGCAGAGGCAGCAATTAAAGCCAGCTGAATGTTTTAATGCAGATGAGCGTCACCTGAAGCTGAACAAACAAGGAACACCTGGCTAGCAACAGCCATCACTGCAGATGCATTTTATTTTCCATCCCTGTGATAACAACTGTTGTAGAAAGCAAACACTTAAGGTCAGGAAACTTTCAAGATTGTAAAATTACGGATTATCTTATTTGTGCATGAAGACGTGAGACAGAAAAACAGCAGCACAATATGGTGTGAGTTTAACATGTAATCCTTTTTGGTTATATCCACCAGAAATGAGTTGATGGAGTACCCAGTTTTATATTTTAGTAAGCACTGGTAACAGTGCTATCTGCTTTTTTCCAAAAGTATTGCCTATTCATTGTGGCATTTCCGTGTAATCCTGTTGATGTGTGGTGAGGAGCTTTGTGTACCTTCCCTTTGTTGCATTAAAGCAAGGATGACAGGTGGCATTTAGACCAGACAAACACCCCACATCCTCCTCTAAGCCAATATTCACCTGAGTTAACATTAGGCCACTTTGTGCACTCTGTGCATATGCGTTTTGTGGCTGCTGTGACAGCTGCCTCCTGAGACAGCCCTGTGACTATACCATGGACTCAGGTGCTCGCAAGCCAGATGAAGTCATCTAGCTATGTGTGCTGTCTAATTGACAAGCAGAGGCAATTCTCTAAGGGTTGTCAGGAGTACACGCACACACACCTGATGTCTCCTGCTTTGGCTGTTACCTCTGGCATGGCTAACAGCAGACTGTGCCGCATCTTAAGATTGCATGAACACTGCTGCAGCTTTGTTTCTGTTGCATGCTCAAAGGTCATGCCGTAAGGAATATAAATACAATATGTTGCTATGTTTACATTCTGCAGAATTATGCATGCCTGCCTGTTAAATTCAAACACAAAATGGTGCTTACAAGTATGGCAGTCAGTTTGGATCCAAACTACTGTTCACAGCAGCGGTTAATGGTTCATAATGTGTCAAAGAACTTGGGAATACACTTCAAGCTGAATTCTCCAATCCTGGCTTTTGTGTACGTATGAAGTTGTTTACTTGGTAAGAGTGTTGACACTGAGGCCATATGCCCCGTCGATTCTGTTATTGAGATGTCAGTCTAATTTCCTGGCCATACGGATGGAGTGTGCGGAGCTTTGGAGCCGGTGTGTGTGCGTGCTGCAGGCTGCTTCCTGCAGTGCACTGGCAGACCGCGTGTGTGGTGGGTACGGCAGTCCAAATGTCTGCGTAGATCCCTCCTTCCTGCCCCCTATGTTCGCGAACAGGTGGAGTGATGGCAGGCAGGCCACGGGGGCTGAGAAAGAACGAGATGGTACGAGGGAGAGAGTTTTAAGAGGACTGCAAAACAGAAGGAAGAACAGTCAAAGCTGTATAATGAGTTGCAGGCATGACAGATGAGTTGCACAGGGCAGATTGAGAAAGTGCGAGCATAGGATGCAAAAGAGATTTGTTGCCAAAACCTGAGGAAATTTGCACTTTTGCATTCAGATCCATTTGTTTTTGGAATAATTCTGCATGTTTTCACATTTTTTGCACTCACAACAGTATTTTTTTATTCATTCCTTGGGCTTCTTTTCAGTTTTCTTTGAGTTACCTACTGACAGCTTAAACCTTTTGACTTAAGCCTTTATAAACCTGGACCTCGTGGCTGAAGGCCATCCAGAGTTCATAGCTGTGAAAAAGAAATAAAGGATGCTATTGAGTCCAAAGCCCTAAAACCATGAACCCACATTTAAAAGCTGCTTTCTGCTAACCTATGACCTGTGAGACCATGCTTGTCTATTAATTGTCAATTCTTGAAGCTGTTAGAAAAGTCTGATCCACTCTAAATGGAGACGGGATCCGGGACTCATGGTTCTCGAAAAGACAAAGACGGCTTCTGATCCACATCTCCCCACCACCACACCCCCCATTACACTTTCTCCATAGCCCCTATCTGGTGGTCTCATTCAACGTCAATAGCATATTGAGAAGTTGCATTTAACATTCAAAAGCTTTGTCGATCTTGTTAGTAAAGCGTGAAATAGCCCGTCCCTTTTTCTCTGTCTCTCCTATTTCTTGGGGGAGCTCAATGAGGAGGCTTTCTACTCCCACACAATGGCCTTCTTCAGCATTTCTTCTGTTATTGATCTGAATGGGTGAGAGTGAGGGGCTAAACTTCAGACATCTGGCTCTTTGATGGGGGCAGGGTGGTTGGTGCCCTGGCAGTGTGTGTTGTATCATGCAAAGTGGGTTGAGGAGAGGGGGCTGGGCATTGTTGTTGTCTTTTGTAACAATAGGCATGGCGCTTTTGAATTGATTTAAACAACTGAGCTAATGGGGGGTAAAGTTAAAGTGGTGCTTCTTTTTTTTAAAATTTTTGTGGATGTCATAGCAAGTTACAGTTATTTAACTTTGGTTCACTCGTATGGACCTGCTGGTTTCTGATGCCCTCACCTCACCTGCCTTCTTTCCTCTTTGCAGACAGTAGAGAGAAGAAGAGCCCTGCCATGCCCGGTTCTCCTGTGGATGCTAAGACTCATTCCAGATCAGCCCCCAGCAGCAGCGCCAGCTCCACTATGCCACCCCTACCTTCTGTCAACCCCAGTGGCCCACGACCGGCCTCTTTTTCCACCACAGCATGTAAGAGTAATAATTAAATCTACACTTAAAGAATTTCTCTCATTTTTCAGCTTTGTCTTTTTGTTTCCACTTCAGTCTTTGTTCCTTTTCACAAACCAAAGTTGTAGAGAAGCTGGAGTTGTAACCACACTCAGCAGGGTTTATTTTGATTTCTCTTCTCTTCACGTTGGTTTTCCGTCCTTTCCCAGTGACCAATGGGAATCATCATTCCCCACCAACACTGAATGCAGTGCCATCTCCGCCACAGCGTTACAGCAATGGACCGTCCTCTTCCTCTTCCTCATCGCTGGCTAACCAGCAGCTGCCAGCCACCTGTGGGGCACGCCAGCTGAGCAAGCTGAAACGTTTCTTGACCACACTGCAGCAGTTTGGCAACGACATTTCTCCTGAGATTGGAGACAGCGTCCGAAGCCTAGTTCTGGCCCTTGTGGTAAATTCTATGATGGCATACTGAAGAGAAAAACAAGTCAACATTTTATAGAAATGCATTTAAATTAAACCTTTCCCTTTTCCTATCTTTTAGAATTCAACAGTTACCATTGAGGAGTTTCACTCACGGCTTCAGGAGGCTACCAACTTCCCCTTACGACCCTTTGTTATTCCTTTTCTCAAGGTAAACATGCCTCCACCCCCTCCTTTTCCCATCTTTCTGTATTTGCTTTGTGCCGTTCTGCATGGAATTACTTCGCTTTTCTTTTCACAGCACTAGTATTCTTCCTCCGTTGAGTTAAATGGTTTTACACCTTGTGGTGTAAAGTTGCCCATCAGATAGTTGCCTGAGTGTAGTTTTGTTAATTGAATTGGCCATTTCAGGTTCAAAGTAACCGTCAAGATTTACGTGTTGACTTGACAAGCAACAGATGACTGTGTGTTAACAGCCTCTTGAGCCCCTCTGTAACCAGGGAAGTCTGCAAGTGTATACTTTTAGTAGCTCCTCGCAGTAAAGCATCCCATAAATCTTGTATAACTGGACTTCAAGCTATAAAAAGCGGCTTTTTTTTACACTTACTTCTTGGTTATCTCTGGAGCCCTTCCGTCTGTCTAAATCCTTGATTATACTCTCTTGTGGACAGCTATTCATTCCTTTTATACTTCTTTGAAGTCCGCTGCCTGGGGGGCATACATAGTTCGTGCATTGTGATGTAAATTTTACATGGACGAGTCTGCACAGTCACGAAAAACAGGCAGGCATTTGGACATCTACATGCACCATCGCACTCAATAGGTGATGATAAAAATGTACATTTCTCAGACGTTTGCGGACACTATCTTACTTGCGAATGGGGAAAAAGTGAATCAAGACTTTTGGTGGCTGAGACAAGAATGCTCTGTTTTTGTTGTTCTACTGATTTATTGCAATGATGTGGCGTTCTCACTATTTAATAACTGCTGGAGTCTCTCTTAAGAGAGAGATGGAGCAATTGGGACAAGATCTGTAGAAAATGTAGAAAAGACAGAGAAGTGGATGAGAAGGAGAGAGGGAAAAGTGGGAACTCGGAAGTGTGAAACATGCCTATAAAGTGTTCCCTTCCTTTTTTATAGTCTCCACTGCGCCATATGGAGCCGCTGTCCCGTTTAAAAGAGCATTCAGCTGCCAAGGCGCCGCCAATCTAGCATCCGCCCTGCTGAAGCCCAGAGAACCCGATGCTCAACTGACACATAGCACATGTGTCCGCTAGCTGGGGCCCCAGGGAAAGAAGGGATGCAGAGGAGCATGGGAAACAGAAAAAAAAGGAGAGCCCAGGGATATTATAGAGAGGCGATCGTAAAGCAGAAGTGCCTGCGCCTATAGGGGGACTACAAGCGATACTGTAAGGATCAGCTCACTGAGGCATAGAGGAATGTTTGTTTCAATGGACAAAAAGATCTAGGTCTTTGCAGAGTAGTAAAGTGATGTTTAACTAATGCTATATGTAGTTTCAAATACTAAATAATAATAAGAGGTCAGTCGCAAAATGAAAACGGATGGTTGTTTAGTTGGTTGCTCAAGAAGAGGGAGAGGAGGGAGCAAGGAAGTGGTGTAATTGCAAACACACTGAAGTCTGTTCCTAATTAGGGAAATGCAGGGAACAAAAGAGAGATGGAAAGATTGGATGGAGACAGTCCCAGATAAATACAAAAAAAAAAAAACACTGAGGGGATGAGGAATTAGGGAGAAGTCTGTGTATCATTTGTTTTGAAATGTTTCTAAATTTCTAAGCCTCTGTATCATCACGCATACCTTTGCTGTGACCAACACATTATGCTCTGCACACATGCTGCTTGCAAGAGGTTCATAACCAACATCAGTTGCAGCTTAGAAAACTCTGATTTTCATTTGAATTAGGAAAGCCGCAGCCTCCTTGGAGGCAGCCGCAGAACAGCACCCAGACACACATCTAGCCTTACAGCCAGACCCCAAGGAGTCACTGCCCCCCTTAAAACCAATTTTCTTCCAGCCAGGCGTCTTCCCCAGGAGGCAGATCTGCACTGTATCTGTTGGCTCTGTTGCAGCATGAACGTAGTCTGTCTAGGATAGTTCTGGTCTGTTTGCTCCAGATCCCCCCTCCTGTTTGTCACTATCAGGTTTTCTGGTGTTTCTCTCTTTCTGTCTGCGTTCGTCTTTGAATGAGTAAAATCAATGCTCATTGATATAGGAGCGAGTAGTGGCCAAAGTCTACTTATACATGGGTTCATCTGTGCTCTATGAAAATAACTTTACCTGCAAATCATAATCAAACTTAACAAGTATAATTTCTTTCTTGTCAGGCAAACCTCCCTTTGCTGCAGAGGGAGCTGCTCCACTGTGCACGGGCAGCCAAGCAGACCCCAGCTCAGTACTTGTCCCAGCACGAGCACCTCCTGCTAAGCACCACTCTGGCATCTTCTCCAGACTCCTCTGAGCTCCTGATGGAGCCTCCAGAGCCTGGAACCAAGAGACACAGCCCAAGCAGGTTAGATAAATGCATAAAAAAGACCTATAATATATAGAGTATATAGGTAAACAGTGAGAGAGCTACATTAAGTCCCTCCTGTCTCCCCCTCAGGGCTAAAGAGAACGGTTTCCGTGAACGCCCACCTGTAGCTATGGAGCCTGCCGCAAAGCGGATTTGCACCATCAGCCCAGCTCCCCGACACAGCCCTGCTCACCCACTGCCACTGACCGCCCAGCTTCACCCGACCCCTCCACCCTTGCAGCATTACGCCCTGGATGACATCGCAGCACCTCACATCCTGCACCGTGAGCACAGCCAACGTGTTTTGGAGATCCGCGAACTCAAAGACAGGCCACGACTTCCTGGTATGTGATGCAAACTCAGTGTAAGGATATTCCTGATGAACTTCCTTTCTGAAGTTGTTTCCCGTCTACACTGTGGGTGATAAGGTGATGCATATTCAGTCTCAGTTGCAGCCTTTGTGGCAGCAGTGAATAAGTGTTGTAGGCATCCTTGTGAACCAAATATACAAGTGTGTAGTGTCAAACTTGTTTGCACATTTCTGTAGAACATCCGTACAACAGAACTTTATTGGCTCTTTACAGTAGTTTGAATGCAAGTAGCTGCAAACCGTATTTAGAAATGAACATACTTGCATGAAGACAGATGCACACAAATATCATATTCTATATGTGATAATGGGTGGTCTGTGTGTTTGTGTAGGCAAGACTCATATATCTCAGGAGTCCACGTATGTATATAAACAGAGCCATACTGTCCAGGCAGGGAGAGCTGGATGTACTCTGGTGTATATCTAGCCTTCATTTGGGGCTTGTCAGCACTCAGTGGAAACATCGGTAGCACACATACACACATACAGACACACACCTTGATATGTTCCTGGTAGAGGTGCTGTGTTTATGAGTCCTTAGTCCCCTGTCTGACAGCCTCCCGACCGCCTGCCGCCACTTAACTCATAGGCACACACACTCACGCATAAACACATCAGTCCACACACTGGTGGCTTTGAACTGATGGACACTGATGAGAACCAGAAGTAGCGAAGATGTTGAGAAGGCAGTGTGCATGAGGGTATCATTGCTCGCCTAAACAACCCTTGTGTGCAGGGTCTTGTTGGCTCTTTCTTACCAAATTTTTAAGCGATTGTGGTTTGCATCTTTGTAGACAGCGTGGGTCTACTTGCAAGAACATGTGGATGTTTTTTAGCCTCTGTGTGAGTGCAAACGCTGATTACTGTTGAATGTATTTGGATATTGCTGATGTCACAGTGTAATGACTGGATTTGAATCAGATTAGCTTTGTTTTTGTGTGTGTGTGTGTGTGTGTGCGTGTAGCCGTAATAGTCTACAATGAGTGTCAGAACGGCTGGTTGTGTTTAGAAGTGGAGCCACTCCACTCAGCCTGAGTGTCTCCCTACTGGAATGCTGTGAGCTCCAGGAGGGGAGGTGCTAAGGGAGAAGTTTTGGGTGTATGTGAGTGTGTGGTTGACAGCTGACTTCCAGATGTGTGCAAGCTCTGGAGCTCTGGGCGCTGGGAGTCTGTTTTATATCACAGGGGTCTCTTTTTCACTTTCGCTCAATCTTTGTTTCTCACTGTCCCTTTATCTTCTTGCCTCTGCATGTTCACCTGCCCTCAATCAAGGCATAAACAAAAAGAAAATAAATAAAGCTCCTTTTGTCATCCTTAATTGTCGCGTGTTCGAGTTTTAGCTAATAGCCTCGATTTAGTACTTTTAAATTTGTTTAGTTTCTCGTGGTGGGAAATGATAAAATTGTCTTCAAGTTTAATGTAAATGTGTTTTTTGTAATTTTAACAGAAGCACTTATTTACCATATATATACATGCGTAGGTGTTTTTGACTTACTGTCACTTGTGGCTTCTCTTGCATTAAGAAGAATGTTAATCATGATGGCCTGTGGTTTGTCTTGTGTGTGATTCAATCAGGCACTAATGGGGGCTACCGTGAGGAGCCAGTGGACCACAGACTGACAGACAGAGAGTGGGCTGATGAATGGAGGCATCTGGACCATGTAAGTCTGCGGACAGGCACCACTGGTGCTGTTGACTTTTGATACAGAAAGAATGTGATTTGTTTTACTGGGGTTTACCACTAAAGCAATCTATCACAGCTTAAAAGCACACATAATCGATAGGCCAGAACTTTCTGATAAGACATCATTGGTTTATAAGCTGCATTTAATTTATTTGGTATGGGTTCAAAATTTTATTGGGGGTTCATTATTAAGCTTATTATTATTATTATTATTATTATTATTATAATAAGCTGTTAAGGGGAACTTAGACTTGCCATGATGTAGGCAAGACACTTTGCCATAGGTACCTATTGAAATAATAGACTGTATGATTGTGTGATTTATTGGCAAAAAAGGCTTGTAGGTAATTTGAAGTAAAATATAAATATAAAGTCAAGAAAGGGTTATGCAATAGGTCTGTGAATGTGGACGTTAATGAGTTTCTTAATGGATTGTGATTAAGACATCCTGAACTACCTTTCCAGGAGATAAATGGTCAGGTTATTGAAAAGCTTACAAGAAGAAGAAACATAGCAAAGACACAAAAGTTTGCTGGGAAATTACAATTATTAACATAAGTCAATGTGTTTTAGGCATTAAAACAAGGTATTCATGTTTAACTGCTTACTGGGATGAAATTCTACCAAGTCAAGGAGATGGTTTGTGAAACTGGTTCTTGATTGGATGATATAAGAACTTTTTGAAACTTCAGACATAGCTATTAAATGATGTAAGATTTAAATAATTCCTCAAGTAGCTAAAAGCGATCTCAATTAATAAAATGTTGTTTGTCGTCATCAAGGTGTTGAACTGTATTGTGGACATGGTAGAAAAGACACGGCGGTCAGTGAGCGTTCTCAGACGATGCCAGGAGTCAGATCGCGAGGAGCTTAACTACTGGAGACGACGTTCAAGCGAGCAGGAAGACCCGCGCAAAGGAGGACCGGCATCCGCTCCATTCTCCAAGACGCACAGCCCTCACTCTTCTGAGTCGGGTGGGTACCGCTGTTTTTTTTGGGGTTTCGCTTTCGTCAGGGACCAATAACTTTTCATTGTTTACGCTTGCTGCTTTACTACAGCAAATGTTTCATGATTTTCAGAAAGAAGCCAAATTTATATAATGCTTGATGTTGCACAGGCTCTAAACTTCACATTTAACCTGCTAGTAACATGCAGAAGCCCAGTTTTTTGGGGGGTTAATTAATTAATTATCCCTTAACATCTACTATGTTTTGGGTGTTGGAAACTGCTTTAAGCATTAACAGTTCAATTCAGTTTAAAAGACGGATGTTTCCATTTCCTTTTAAAAGTGTTATTTATTTTGAGATCAGTTCATTAAATTACCTTTAGAATGGGTAAGCAAATGTCTTTTCTAAAGAAATATATCCATGGGTTGTTCACTCTGGGATAATGATGCTAGATAAACTACAAGCATTGTGAATAATAGCACATAATGATCTGGACATCCTGAGATTAATTTAGGCGATGCAAATGTCCAGAGTCATTTCTGTTTCATAGTCATTACATCATCTAGTGGTCATTAATAGAACTGCGCCGAAGTCACACGTCAGCGTGTTAGTGAGTCCATCCACAGTTAGTCCCTCAGTCTGCTGTGTACTGGCAGTGTTCTTTCTGCGTGCCAGCCTTGCCATCCCCCTGCTGCTCCATAGTCACAGACAGGTGCCAGGATTGGCCTCCGCCATATCGGCCACAGAAGGGCCGTCCTGCCGTCCTGCAGGCACAGAGACCCAGAGCTAGCTGACTCGCCAGAGCACCATCTGGGCTCCCAGTCGGAAAGCCTGCCTGCTTGCCTAGGCTTGGTCTGCTATAGTGGGGGTGTATAAAGGCTTGGTGGAAGAGAAGGGATGTAAATGAAGGCAAAGAGAGAAAGAGGTGGCGAGATCAGCTGTGAGTGATGGAGAAAGAAGCGGGAAAAGGAGATAAGAAAGGCAGCAGTATTAGAGAGGCAGAGCCCAGTAGTGAGTTAGGAATGAATTACGATTCAGGGAGACAGATTTGAGGGAAGAAACAGTATTGACACAGCTTGATGGTCTGCATTTCTCTCCAAGCCAAACACATTCCTTTCTGAAGCTGTCAGATCGCAGATCCGTCCAGGACTCTGATAACTAACAATAACATTGGTTGTGTGGCCTAGATATTCAGAATTGTTTGCACCAGTGACAGAATAAATGTCAAGATGACAAAGAAACTATTACTGTCTGTCTATCAGGCCTTTTTTTTATATGCCCCCATCACCTTCAAGGAGTGTCAGCCCCAGTATAAATAAATGAAAATAAATAAATATATGAAGTTTCAAAGCCCCGGCAGGTGCTAATTGCTTCCGTTTCTGCCTCCCCTGCAGACTCTCAGCGTGATTTTGCTCCACGGCCAGGCTCAGCATATGTCACAGATGAAATCTGGAGAAAAGCTGGTAAGAACACGAAACAAAATTAGTATAAAGACTCAACCAGTTGTTGCATTTACAAAGTGATATTTTGACACACTTAGCAGATCGCTGTGTGCTTTACTTATGCAAGTGTGCACAGTGAAAAACAAGGTGAGCCCCACCTAAATCTCTTGTCTTCTCTGAACTGTAGAAGAAGCGGTGAATGAAGTTAAGCGTCAGGCCATGGAAGAGGTTCAGAAAGCTGTAGCAGAGGCTGAGCAGAAAGCATTTGAGATGATTGCTGCTGAGAGGGCCAAGATGGAAAAGACTGTGGCTGAGGCCAAGCGGAAGGCGCAAGAAGATGCCATCATGGTCATTAATGAACAAGAGGACTCCAGTGAGGTGAGCAAGAACTGATGTGTGTACATATATGTGTGTTTTGTATGCATGCATGCACTTAAATGTCCAAGTATACATCATTTAGAGTTACAGTCTTTTGGGCATTTTTAATAGCAATTACAGATTAATAGTGTAATAAAGCAATAACAGTGGTGCAAATGACTAGATTAAAGTGGAAAAAGGCACTGTGTTTATAGTGATGATTCCACACATGGATTTTTCTGAACATGTTGAAGGGCCTCACATGATTTAGTAAAGAGTCCACATGGGACTCGGTGGGAGGGCAGAAAAATTACTCAAAATGAATGCTTTAGTTGCTGAATCTGCTGAGACAGCTGTATGCACACAAGTTCACAATGATTACTCCAATCCATTGCCGCGTTTGCTTCTGCTGCCCCCAAATGGTCCAACAAAATCACTGTAGTTTTGTTTTGTAAGAGGTTTATTTAAAAAATGAAAGAATACAAATGCAGTTTGTACAAGTGAGAGATAGAAATGAACTATATCTTTATTCTCTTGTTAGTGTTGCTGGAACTGTGGTCGCAAAGCTAGCGAGACGTGCAGCGGCTGCAACGCCGCTCGCTACTGTGGGTCTTTCTGCCAGCACAAAGACTGGGAGAGACATCACCTCATCTGCAGCCCAGGACTTCAGGCTCAACCCAAACCGGTACCTGCAAGCAGAGTGGCCGCCGTGGCCACAGCAGCATCGGCCGCCGCCGTCGTGTCTCCTGTTGGTCTGGCTGGGGTCAAAGTTCCTGACAGCGTGCCTTCAGTCTGCAGTCCAGGTGGGGAGAAGGCTTCAGTCGCTTCGCGTTCATCCACTCCCTCCACCCCTGCCTCGGCCCCTGAGACGAACGGACACTAGGAGGCAAAGGACCTTGGCGGTGCATGTGTCACCTACCCCTCTTCAAAAACCGGGAAGAACTGAAACAGCAGCATGAGGGAACTATTTGTGGGTTAAGTTAGGATAACAGATTTTTCAACATACTCTTTGGCAGATAAAAAAGGACAGATTATGGATGACTGTTTGAGTGATATGTCAACTGGGACTTTGGCTTTGGCAAAGAACAGAAGGACTCCTCTTGAATGCATTAATTGGATGAACAGATCTCCCTAGCAGATGGAAACGTGTTTCTCATCGTCCAAAAACCAAAATCTTGGATGTGCGAGGGGTGGAAAAAACACTGATTGATCTCCGTTTGTTCTCTGGTGGCAGCGTGGAAGTTATGAAAGGGAGGCATACGAGAACAAACACAGGAGATTAAAGGACAATGAGGTATAAAGATATTTCCCCCCATGTACCAATATCCTCACTTTGATGTGT